AATACATTTCATCAGAGCTTTTGGACTTCTCTCAGAATTTTCAGTCCCTCCAGGGGTGTGCTCTAGAGGTAATCCCTGTATACTCCCCTACACACTCCCACTCAGGGAGGGTGGTAACAAGGGGAAGGGGGATGTGCAGCAGCCTGCAAGGACATTCCACCTTTTCAGCAGTCTCCACCTCACATGGCCCTTAGCTTCCCTAACCCCACCTTTTCAATGTGTGCCCTAATTTCAGTTTTGTTTTAGCTATAAATGTAGAAATTTAAAAGCTACTGTCATTGTAAAGTCCTACGTAGTACTTTCGTGGCACCCTTCCCTTTTGGGTTATTAACTATATTTTAATGAGATTTTTTTTTTTTTTTCACCTAATGCTTGGGATTGAATCCAGGGCCTAGCACATGCTAGGCAAGTGCACTACCACTGAGCTACATCCCCAGCCCCTCTTAATGTGATTTCTATATTTTATGAAAGTCTTTTCCTTAATTATATATTGATAATGAATTATATTTTCTCATACTACTTGGAAATAAAATATTAGCAAAAACAAAATTCAGTTTTATCATATAATTTTTAAAAATGCCTTCACTATGTCTCTTCAAGTGGTCTTCAGATTTTGTCACAGATGCAATTCTGGATACATTTAGTGAGTTGAAGGGTTAAAATACCCAGCACTGTCGCATATGGCAGTGAACGGAATCACAGATGTTGATGATACCACGTAATTAGTATTCTTTTATGTAAATGAAGGCTGTCAGCATGTTACCATAGTGTCTACTCTCTCTGAAGCTGGAATTTATGCCACTTGGTCTCACCAAGACCAAGCAGGATTATTCCATAGTCCTTCATTAAGAATGGAAAAAATGGATAACATGAGAGAGAGGGGGAAATGGAGATCTCCCTAAAGATGATTTTTTTTTCCTATTTTGTTTTTGTTGATTCCTGTGCCTAAGAAATATTATTTCTGGTGATGCACTTAAGATCTGCTAAGAAATTTGCTATTTAAGAATAATTGAAAGAATCCAATTAAAAGATACCATGTTTTCAGGCTATTTTTGAAAAATGATTGTTATGTTTAGTCATCTTGCACATGGAGACTTTTTTAAGTGATGTGGTAAATCTAGATATTTCTTTTTTTTTTTTTGAAAGAGAGAGAATTTTAATATTTATTTTTTAATTTTTCGGCAGACACAACATCTCTGTTTGTATGTGGTGCTGAGGATCGAACCCCGGCCGCACGCATGCCAGGCGAGCGCGCTACCGCTTGAGCCACATCCCCAGCCCCTCTAGATATTTCTCATCAGAACAAAAGGCAGAAATTGAAAAGATTCCATTATATTTTCACTTAATACTTAGTGGCATTTTTCTAGTAGAATTACTTAAAATACTGATTGTGATTTTTAACTCAGGTTGATTCTGATTTTTAAAATAAAACTATGGTAATTAAAAAATGCTAATATTTTTCAGGTTACTTTCCTTTATGCAGATTAATCCAGGTTGTATAGGGCATTTATTTACATGACCGATCTACTTAATGATGTAGAACTATTCAGATACATCCTGTTCTTTCCCAACCACACTGCAAGTCTGTTTGGATATTGGGTGCCTGTCATACTGGATGATATATGTTTCAAGTAGAAATGTTAGAATTATTGTGACCTTTGAGAATATGAAGGGAAAGCTGTATATGTCAGAAAAATATACAACAGAATTCCTCTTTCTGTTAGTGGGTATTAGTGCTTGTTATGAAATAAAGCAGAGTGTGTGGGAGGTGATTTAAACACATTTCTTCTTGAACAGAGCCTACCTGAGGTTGTGTTCTTTTCATTCTCTTATCTTACATGTTGGTTAAGCTAGCTTTTTTCTTTTGTGTCCCTTTTTGGAAATTTCCATTTCATGATCAGATATGGTTTTCCTCTAGAGAAGCTAGTCTGCCTAGCTTAGGTCCATGTGGTGAGGTACAAAGTAGCCTTGTGTTTTCCTGAATGGATTTACTCTGCCATATGGCAGGTTACTGAGTCACCACGACAGATTTGTAATGGGAAAAGGGCTGTGCAGGAAAGGATGTGCGTGATCAGCAGATTTATAGATCAGGAAATGAAATTGGAAGGAAGAATTTCCACAGTGCCCTTTCCATTTGACAGGGCTCCATGGAGAGGGTGTGAAATAGTGTTTTAGTGTTTTTCTATTTTGGCTTTTGGTTATTCCCGCATATTTTTTCCTAGCACAGGAGTTGATTTTGTAAGGCATCGGTGTTCTGTGTTGTGCTGCTATATTCCTGTTTACAGAAATACTCTCTCTTTGTAGGATGTGAAGCTGTGTATTTCACAGGAGAACATTTTGGTGGCAATTAAATATCTGAGGATACATTGAGGCAAAAATAGGGATTGGCTAGGTATTACATTTTGAGTTATAAGGGGATGCTATTCAGGTATGATTCAGTAGGTACTGAATTTTTCAAAGGAAAGAAAACAAAAAGAAAAGCAGAGTGAGCTAAACAATATATCCTGGTGTGGTTAAGTCTGCTGTTTTAATACTGCAGCCACTGTAGGTGTGTGACTAATTTTTTAAAAAAATTAATGTATTTTTGGTATGGGGGATTGAACACAGGGGTGCTTTACTGCTGAGCTACATCCCCAGCCCTTTACATTGTTTATTTTGAGACAGGGTCTGACTAGGTTGCTTACGGCCTTGCTAAATTGCTGAGGCAGGCCTCAAGTTTGTGATCCTCTTGCCTCAGCCTTGAGTTACTGGGATTACAAGTGTGAGCCACCAGGCCTAGCTGTGTATGACTATTTAAATTTTAATTGACTAAAATTAAAACTTCAGTCCCTCAGTCTCACTAGCCACATTTCAAATGCTTGGTAATTTTGTGACTAGTTACTACAGTAATGGACAGCACGAAGGAGAATATTTCATCACTATAGAAAGTTCTTTTGGATGATGTTGGTCTGAGTGAAGAATCTGAGAATTAAAATTTGATTTCTGTGAATTTTCCCTCCCTATAAAACTGATTGGATTAGTGTAGTGGTTCTTTGATTTTAATGTGCAAAAGATTCATCAGTAGAACTTGTTTAATATGGAGATTTTAGTCTCCTCTCCAGACAGATTCATTAAGTCTAGAGTAGTAACCAGGAAGAAGCCTAGGGAATTCTGATGCTGGTAGGTGATTCAGGGACGACATTTTAAAAAATAGTGATAAACTTGGGAATTTCTTGACTCTTGATATTTCTCCCATCTCCCTTCATTCCTTCCTTACTGACATCTTTTGTGTCCCTGATAATTGGTTGAGAGACCATCATGTGTATCCAGTTTATTTATTTATGTGTTTATCGGTGCCAGGGATTGAACTCTGGGACACTCAATCACTGAGTTACATCCCCAGCCCTATATTGTATTTTAGCACTTCACTTTTGCTGAGGCTGGCTTTGAACTCACGATCCTCCTGTCTCATCCTCCCAAACTGCTGGGATTATGGGTGTACACCATTGCATCTGGCAAGGGTTTCTTTTTTTAAAAAAATATTTTTTTATTTATACATGATGAGGGTTTCTTATATGGGCAGCTGGCCTCTGCCATTTTGAAGGGAAGGGAAGAACTGCCAGCATGCTGGCACACACCTGTAATCTCAGTGGCTTGGGAGGCTGAGGCAGGAGGATCCCACGTTCAAAGTCAGCCTTAGCGAATTCACCAGGCCCTAAGCAACTCAGTGAGACCCTGTCTCTAGATAGTGCCCCTGAATTCAATCCCAAGTACCAAAAAAAAAAAAAAAAAATTTGGTCCTGCAGACTGTGTATGGATGTGTATATGTATATACACCAGTAGAGCTTGTTTAATATGGAGAGCTTGTTTAATGTGTGTGTATATTTATACATACACACATACACATACATGTATGTATGTATGTATATGTGTATGTGTGGGTTTTGGCAACTGAACTAGGCCAAAAGGATATCTGGAAAACTAAAGTTTTACACTGAATTTAGACTTCTCTGGGTTGACCCCATAATCTGGAACTGTTGCTCATAGAAACAAGAAGTAGAAAAGAAATGGAGACGAAGGCTATTCATTTTATAAGAGGACTGCCTTCAGGGAATTTTAAAAGCTGGTATGGGTTGCAGGTGGTGGGTGGAAGCTTCAAGATTCCAAAGAATAACCTTTTTTTTTTTTTTTTTTTTTAAATAGTCATCCAGCTTCTTTCCCTTGAGAAATTGCCTACTAGGCTTCTCTTATGAACAATACTGAAAAAGCAGTATTACACAGAAAAAAGTGTTCAGTATGTTATTTTTTGTTTGTTTTGTTTTGGTACAAGGGATTGAATCCAGGTTGCTTTACCACTGAGCTACATCCACAGTCCTTTAAATAAAAAGGACAGAGTCTTTTAAGACAGAGTCTCCATAAGTTACTGAGGCTGCCCCAAACTTGGTATGTATTTCCCTGTCTCAGCCTCCCAAGTCACAGGGACTTTATAGGCGAGTGACACCGCGACCAGTACCACCATTTAAAAAATCATTTTCATCTCTGGCAGATTTGTTGCTTTTAAAATTGTAGTTGGGTTAAGTAATATTTCAGTAGTCACTCGACCTCTTGTCCCAAATCAGATTTATCAAATTCTTTACATACCTGTCCTTTGAGTGAGAATGAAAGTTTCCCCACCCCTTCCACAAGATGTAAATGTTATTTTGAAAAAGACACATGTAAAATGTTACTTGAGGCTCGAGGTCTTCCTCCTTAGGTAGCATAAAAAATGATACTTTGTGCAAGACTATCACTACTTTGAAATACATTAAAATCAACCTGAGATTGCCATTTTGTTTGAGGCTCTTCATTTCTCTCACTGGTATTTGAAACTCGGTATAACAAGTTTCAATTTTAAAAGCAACCAGTTTTGAATTGAAAACTAGCACATCTTGGGTTGAAATGCCATTCCCAAGCCTTTCTCTAGGAAAACATTTTGCTGAAAGTTCTTTTTTTCCCCTTCCCTTTTTGGGGCTTTTTGCCAGGTTGAGAGGGTGGCGATTGCTCTAAGACATGGATAGATGCAAACATGTAGGGCGGTTGCGGCTCGCCCAGGACCACTCCATCCTGAACCCTCAGAAGTGGTGCTGCCTGGAGTGCGCCACCACCGAGTCTGTATGGGCTTGCCTCAAGTGTTCCCACGTAGCCTGTGGCCGCTACATTGAGGACCACGCACTGAAACACTTTGAAGACACTGGACACCCACTAGCCATGGAAGTCCGGGATCTCTATGTGTTCTGCTACTTGTGCAAGGACTACGTGCTCAATGATAACCCGGAGGGGGACCTGAAGCTGCTGAGAAGCTCCCTCCTGGCGGTGCGGGGCCAGAAGCAGGACCAGCCAGTGAGACGTGGGCGGACGCTGCGGTCCATGGCTTCGGGCGAGGACGTGGTCCAGCCGCAGCGTGCTCTTCAGGGACAGCCGCAGATGCTCACGGCTCTGTGGTACCGGCGCCAGCGCTTGCTGGCCAAGACACTGAGGCTGTGGTTCGAGAAGAGCTCTCGGGGCCGGGCGAAACTGGAGCAGCGGCGGCAGGAGGAGGCTCTGGAGCTCAAGAAGGAAGCGGCACGGCAACGGCGGCGCGAGGTAAAGCGGCGGCTGCTGGAGGAGCTGGCCAGCGCCCCTCCGCGCAAGAGCGCGCGCCTGCTTCTGCACGCGCCCCGCCGCGCGGGCCCTTCCGCCGCGCGCTCCGCCTCCCGCCGGACGCCTAGCGCTTCTGCGCTCAAGCCGCGCCGCCAGCCGGCGGTCGCCCCCGGCGTGACTGGCCTGCGCAACCTGGGCAACACCTGCTACATGAACTCCATCCTCCAGGTGCTCAGCCACCTGCAGAAGTTCCGAGAATGTTTCCTGAACCTTGACCCATCCACCACAGAACACCTATTTCCCCAAGCCACGAACGGCAAGGCTCCGCTCTCTGGCAGGCCGGCCAGCAGCTCTGCCACCGAGTTGTCGGCGAGGAGCGACAGAGCCCAGGCATGCGAGCGGGAAGGCCTCTGCTGGAACGGTGGGGCCTCCATCAGCAGAAGCCTGGAGCTCATCCAGAACAAGGAGCCCAGCTCGAAGCACATTTCCCTTTGCCATGAACTGCACACCCTCTTCCGAGTCATGTGGTCCGGGAAGTGGGCACTAGTGTCGCCCTTTGCCATGCTTCACTCCGTGTGGAGCCTGATCCCCGCCTTCCGTGGCTACGACCAGCAGGACGCGCAGGAATTTCTCTGCGAGCTGCTGCACAAAGTACAGCAGGAACTCGAGTCAGAGGGCACCACGCGCCGGATCCTCATCCCCTTCTCCCAGAGGAAGCTCACCAAACAGGTCTTAAAAGTGGTTAACACCATATTTCACGGTCAGCTGCTCAGTCAGGTAGGTGTGGCTCACCGCCCCCCCCCACTCTGCCCAGCATCATGGAGGGAGGCGGGAGGCCGGAGGCGGCTGTTATAGTTTGAGTGTCCTGTGAATGCCTCCCCAGATTCCTGGGCTAATTAGAATAGCCAACATTTGTTGTGATTATGCATTTTGCCATTATATCTGTTGTTGTATTGTACACTTTGATGGCCTTGTGAGTAAACTTGCGCACTCTTTCCAGCCATGCCATACCACTTTATTTTCTGTAAATGGCTTTACCTGCTAATGAAGATGTTGGTCATACAGTCATTGTTATAATTAAATACCCACTGTTGGTGTCCCATGCTGTGATCATTTTTAGGGGACTGAACAGAGTTTGCCTAGAACCCTAGTTCCATTCTGGTTTAAAGAGCATCTTAACCTACAAAGAAGAGAGGTGGCTGGGAGCATCCTAAAGGCTTTTGAAAAAGCCTCTTTTCTGTTCGCCTTTACTTTTCATTTCATTCCTGGATCTTTAGTCATGTAGATTCATGGATAAGGTCTTGTGAGAATATGCAGACAGACTTTTTATAGATAAAAGAAAGGAGGTGGGCACTGTAGGAGATTCAGGTTAACCTCTACTGAACTGAAGGACTGATGAGTGGGATGAGAAGAGAAAGTTTATTGATGCTTTTTTTGAGCATGTAAAGTGCAAAGGTAAAGTTATAGTGGGAGAGGAATTCTAGTCACAGTACTTTGAGGCTCTGTAGACAGAGAATCAATGTAGGGGAACTTCAGTTAACAAGCGTAAAAATAGAGGCCAAGTTGGCTTCAAGTTGGGAGGAGGAATTTGAGGATGAATGAAGTAGACAGTGACCTGTAAATCATCCATCTCAGACTGATTCCATGAATGCCTTCAGTATAACTTGCAGTCTATATTGCTGCAGCATTCCATGGTGCATCATACTTCGATGAAGATGAAGAGAGAGAGCAGTAGGTATAATCACTGTGTTCTGTGGTTTTCCAGTGTGTAACTAGTATCACATAGCTAGAAATGCACACCGATATAATATGCTCCAATTCTTTTAAAATTTTATTATTTTGAAAATTATATACTTAGCTTTGATAAAGTTATTTGTTTAAATCAAGCAAAAATGTGTGTGGAAAGGTAGAAAATTATATAATCTACAAATGAATATTTTCCTTCTAGGTCACATGTATATCTTGCAATTACAAATCAAATACTATTGAACCCTTTTGGGATCTGTCCCTGGAATTCCCTGAACGCTATCATTGCATAGAAAAGGGGTTTGTTCCTTTGAATCAGACAGAGTGCCTGCTTACTGAGATGCTGGCCAAGTTCACTGAGACAGAGGCCCTGGAAGGGAGAATCTACGCTTGTGACCAGTGTAACAGTGAGTACTAAGTAAAGAAATGATGGGGGTGGAGGAGGTTGGGACTGGAATGTCAATTTAAGGTGCTTCTTTTGTCCCTTTAGTACAGAGTAACACTAATGATATTGAGTGGTTTGAATTCATCTTCTAAAGATACTTTACTCCCATTTTCTAAAAATAAGCAATATGGACTTTGTGTATTAAAAACAAAGACCCATCCTGATTGTCATTAGTTGTTATCCTGGGAGGTATTTGAAAGTGGTTCCTGAAGTAGGATGTTACTGAGAATGATACTACTTAGCTTCATAGTGTTTAAACTCATGAATGAGGAGCCTGACAATTCTTTTTTAGTCTAAATTCAGGTAGCATAGCCTGTTTGAGGGGTTGAGGTCTCAGAAAATCATGTTCTTGTACTGAATTTGGTAGATTTAAAGTCAGAAGTGATGCTAAAGATTGGTATAGTGGGACCAAGACAGCAAGTCTTAAGGTGTTCATTGTCAGCTTCATGGATGTTTTCTGTATGTTTTTTTCCTTCACATACTTGAAAGGTTCACATTTCAGGGATGATCTCGAGGTCAAGTTTTTCTATAGTGTTGTTTTAACTTGAAATTGTGACTCCTTACATATGGTTACATGGATATCTAATGCAGGATCTTTTGTAGCACTTAATGCTTCTGTTAACCCATAATGTGAGAGTAAATGCAGAGCAAATATGAGGAAGCTCAGGTTTGGTTTTTATGGCATATAAAGATTTAGAAACTAAAATATTAAAGTAGGCTGGGCACTGTGCCACAAGCCTGTAATCCCAGCAGCTAGGGAGGCTGAGGCAGGAGGATTTTGAGTTCAAAGCCAGCCTCAGCAATTTAGCAAGGCCCTAAGCAACTTAGCAAGACCCTGTCTATAAATAAAATATAAAAAGGGTTGGAGATGTGGTTAAGCACCCTGGGTGCAAAACACACACACACACACACACACACACACACACACACACACGTAATGGATTGTTCAAAGACCTAGAAATCAATTTGCAGCCATATAATTCAGTTCTGACTATAAATTTTGGGGAAAAATTTTTAGTGTTATTTTTGCAGTGCTGGGGATTGAACCCAGGGCTTCATGCATGCTAGGCAAGCATTCTATCACTGAGCTAGACCCCCCAGAACTGCCCCCAAAAAATCTTATGGTAGTTCTTTTTTTTGTTTTTTTTTTGGTACCAGGGATTGAACCCAGGGGTACTTAGCTACTGAGCTACATCCCTGGCGCTTTTTTATATTTTATTCAGAAACATGGTCTCTCTGAGTTGCTTAGGGCCTCACTAAGTTGCTGAGGCTGGCTTCAAACTTGCCATTTTCCTGCCTCAGCCTCCTGAGCCACAGGGATTACAGGCATGCACCATCTCACCCCACCGGTTTTTTAATGTATTATGCACATGGATTTTTAAAATAGTAAGTTGTGGCAGCTGGGCATGGTGGTCTATACCTCCCAGCAACTTGGGAGGCTGAGTCAGGAGGACTGCAAGTTTGACACCTCAGCAACTTAGTGAGAACCTGTCTCAAAATTTTAAAAAGGTGGTAAAGTGACCCTGGGTTCAATTTGCAGTTCCACTAAAAAAAAAAAAAAAAAAAAAAATCTAGATAGAATTTTGCCATTTTAAAATTGGACATATACTTGGCTAACTGTAAACCCACCTATCCTATTTCATTTTGGATAGAGAGGCAGGTGAGAGGAAGATGAGTTAAATTGTTTAATTAGAGCAGTTCCTGGTTTTTTTTTTTCATGTTTCATAAAGCTTTCTGCTTGTAAGAAACAAAAGGATATTAACAGCTTTAACTCCATCTTTGTGGACGTGATAGATAAAGATTTTTTTTCAAGAAAGGATTGTTCTTTTGCTTGCCAGAGGTGCCATTTACCAGGATTTCTCTAGGCAGGTACAAATGCTGACAGGGGAGGAAAACCAGTGAAGGGATAGATGCATTGATCTGTTGGTTGTGAAGTTCCAGAATTGTCAGTCTTCTACCTCTTTGTGTGGCCACCTTAATCAAACAGAGACAGCACTGATCAATCTTAATTGAATCAGTAATTTCTTTTTCTTTGTGAATTTCATTTTAGGGAAACAAAGCCGGATTCTACATTGTCTTCATCTTAGCTCACATACTCCCTCTGCTGAGGGTGGCAGTCACTGCCAGGTTCCCAAGCAGAGCTGCAATAATTTTCAAAAATGTTGTGAACAGGAATGGAAAATAGGGCCAGGCCCCTCTTTGAAGGCTTCTTCTGTTCCTGCCCCTGTGTGTCATGACTGCATGCCTTGATAAAAGCTTCTGCGGCATGCTCATTTTGATGCAGTCTATTTTGAGCAGCTACACGTCCACATCCGATTGTCACAGAAAGCTGTGATACGTCATCAGGCTGTGCTTGGCTGCCTTTCACAAGTCCTACAGACTGGACTTGGAATCAGATGCCCAGCTCTTCATATATTGAGACCATGAGAGCAACAGCTCAGAGAAAATTAGCAGGCACCTCAGCGGACCACTAATTTTGTAATCCCACCCATTTGCCTCTCTGTCAGTAACTGGTTACAGAGAAGGCTTCTGTTGGAAATTAAGAGAACTTTATTTCCATTGATTATTTGCTAAAATTTTAGAAATGCATTTTCCCCACAATTCAGTAGTTTTAGAAACAAAACGAAAGTCTGGTTCTACAGTTGGATTGGATGAACTTGGCTGGCTTATCAGCCTTGTCTTGCATGCCTAGTAGTATGCCTTATCCTAGAACTATGTTTCAAAACTAGGCACAGCATAAAAAATTGAAACAGCAAAGTTTATTTTCTGAACATTTGTATACGCCACAATCATACTGAAAAAATGTTTAAATATTTGTCCTTCAGTAATCTTATACATTTATCTTTTTCCTAAACCTCAGTTATATGCATTAGTCCCCATTTTACTGGTGAGGAAACGGATATTCAGAGTTTTAAATAATTTTTAATTCATTTAGCCTACAACTAGCTGTGAGCAGAAAGTTGAGTTAGGCTTATTTTATGAAAATAAAAAGCTTTTTAAAGTTATAGTGCATCATAATTTAAGTTATAAGTGTATAAAACCCTGGCATATTCAACCCTATGTACATGCTATTGCAGTGACTGTCCATTATATTTCATCAATGAATTCATGACATCTAGAGTGTACCATCCTGAACCCATACCAATTTGTTTTGGTTGCTTGTAACAGTCAACTCAAATAAAAATGACTTAAATGAGATAAAATTTTACTTTTTTTTTTTTTTTTTAATAAAAGAAGTCTGAAGGACATTCAGGGGCTGGCATGGTGACTGCATGGTCATCAGGAACCCAAGCTTCTCCCTCCTGGTATACTATCCTAGTGCAAGACTTCCATCTTCAAGGTCGTGGTCCCAGAGGAGTTCTAGAAAACCATAGGAAGGACAAAGGGATGACCCTGCAACTGAGTCAGCCCCCCTTAAGCAGCTTTCCCAAAGTGCCACAGTCACTCCTTTCATCTCAGCAGTTCCAGAGCCACACCATGCAGACATGAGAAGCTGGGAAGTGCAGTCTTACAGAGCATCACATTGCTGCCCCAAATAAAACTGGGGGTCAAATACTAAGGAGAATGCATACTGAATGGCAAGTCATCGTCTCTGCCATAGCTAGGAAAGAATGAGACTCCTTACAACCTATGTCTTATACCTTCCCAAACCATATAGGCAAACGACGCAAGTCCAACCCCAAACCCCTTGTTCTGAGTGAAGCTAGAAAGCAGTTAATGATCTACAGACTACCTCAGGTCCTCCGGCTGCACCTTAAAAGATTCAGGTGAGCTTGCTCTGAGAGTCCCAGATGGTTGTGAGCTGTGGGAATAGCTGCCTCAAAGGCGTGGAGAGGGCAGATGTCTATCTGCTTTGGTGTCGGGAGGGAAAGTTTATTCTCTGGAGACCTTGAGCTTTCCATGGAGATTCAGTGGTTCACATACACGAACACCAACTGAATTTGGAACCCAGCAGGACTGGGCTTCTGCTCTTTGGCCCTGTTTAACTGTCTAGCCTGCACCAGATATATCTGTGCCTGAAGATTTTCTAGCCTTGCTTGGACTCACTGTAGATTCATCTTCAGGATGAAGTTTCATAAAATCATCTGTGAAAAGAAGGGCAGGTAGTAAATTGTAAAGATTGTTGCCTGAAATGCTTGTTTAGGAATTTCTAGGTTCAAAGTACTTTGTGGAACAGTCACAGAAAATATATGTGGACATTGGTTATTACACTTTATTGATGAGAAAACCAAAGGCAGAAGCTTAAGTTTTCTCACTTCCCTGTTTTGCTTAAGGCTATCTATGAACACATATGGCAGTTTTCACTAGAAAGATGTTTATGTCCGTGTTCTAGGTGGTCTGGCCGTAACCATCGAGAGAAGATTGGGGTCCATGTCGTCTTTGACCAGGTATTAACCATGGAACCTTACTGCTGCAGGGACATGCTCTCCTCTCTTGACAAAGAGACCTTTGCCTATGATCTCTCCGCAGTGGTCATGCATCACGGGAAAGGGTTTGGCTCAGGACACTACACAGCCTATTGCTACAACACAGAGGGAGGTGCGTGCGCTTTACTCTGTGGGGTGGGGGACACGGAAAAGGGTTGGTGTGTCCACAATTTATTGCCTTCCTTTTATTTCCATCCCACAGGTCACCTATTGGGAAATTATATATGTTAAAATTCAGTGAAAAGAAATATGAAAGATTCAAATTTTTGATATATACTAAGTAACATTATAAAGTTGATTTAAGAATTAAAAGGAACTGACACATGTAAAAGTGCTTAGATCAGTGCCTAGTACATAATACTGGCTCAGTCTATCACAGTATTATCAGTACTATTGGCTATTGATAGTATTACTATTGCTGTGGTAATGATACTTCTGCAGACCTCAGTTTCCTTCTTGGTTATGCAGAAACTATAGTACCTCTGTGATTTTGTGGAGATATTATGAATCTCACTAGCTTCACTCAAAATAAAGCTGAGGACATTCCTGAGCACTTTCTGTGTTCTTATTACTTCCCTTACTCTGGGAAGAGTGGGGATGCAAGGGCTTCTCCAAAGGAGCTTGTGGCCCAGGGCAGAGCTTCCCAACAACCATATTGAGGCATATGGGGTGCAGATACGTTTTCAGCAGTGCCCCGGTTTTGAAACCCTCAGCACCTGGGGCACCCAGAGGCTGTGAACAAATAACTTATTCTTCTAATTTTCCTTTATCACTCCTATTTTCATTTCTCTCCTCCTTGTCCAAATACTTAGTCCTTAAGATCCTGGCTTTCTTTGTGGAATGTTCTAACGGCCAAGGAAAAAGCCTGAGTAAGCTGATGACAAAAACGACAGTCAGTGAATACTGTATGCAGTATTCATGGTTAGTTTTGGTAGACCAATGGTTACAGAGAACCCTGGTTTCATTTACTAGCCCTTCTTGCATCACCAGTAATCCAAGGGTGGCTCTAATTAGAACTCCTCTGTTCCTTTCTTCATCTCCTGGTTTGCTGCTGACTGGAAATGTGAATTGGGAAGTCATTTTCTTTTTCTTTCCTTTGGTTTCCTAGGTTTTTGGGTCCACTGCAATGACTCAAAGCTGAATGTATGCAGTGTTGAGGAAGTGTGCAAAACCCAGGCCTACATTCTTTTTTACACTCAAAGAACAGTACAGGGCAATGCAAGAATCTCAGAAACACAACTCCGAGCTCAGGTGCAGTCCAACAACAAGGATGAAGGCAGACCACAGATATTCCCTTGACTGAGAGGCATGGATAAAGACTGCTTTGATTTTAATCCGTTGGTGTCCACACATCTTTCCCCTCATAGGAAATAAGGCTACTGCAGGAACAGATTACTAGTTTGCCTCACTGGGGCTACAGTGGAAGATGCCAGGTGATTCATGTTCTGTCATAATGTTTGTAGTCACTTTCTTTTGAATGCATTTAGAAATCCCCTCCTTTCATAAAACAAATCAAAAGGAGTAACTTCTGTGAAGATTCTTTCACCAGTTGCTTCTGAATATAGAGGGATCTGAGTTGAGGAAAGGAGGAGGTGGGGATTGATTATCCAGCCAGGGGACTTTGGTCCCATTAGGTGAGTCCCCTACTAACCAGGACCTCTTAGCAGCACCAGAACATTCCCAAGGTGAGCAACTCTGGACAGAGCACATGAAGAGGGCTCCTGGGCTGGCAGCTTTTGGATGGAATTGGTTCTGACGTGGGAGGTAAAGTCCACAAGGGAAGTAACCTTCAAGAGTTAAAACTCAGAAACTTCCTTTTTCAGGGGATAGCAGCTGAAGAGTGGAATGAAACGTGGTATGTTCACGTGTCATACCCTCCCCGGCTGCTGCTGCTGCCGTTTAATCACTCTACACTTCTGGGACTGGCATGAACACCCCTTCCTTTAAAAAAAGGGACAGTTGACATGAAGCAATGGACCAGTACATGTTCTCTGTTGCATGCTGAGCCAAGGGGCTCTCCTGGCTATCCCAGTTCTGTAGCAGTTCTTTGGTTCGGTCTAGGGCAAGTTTATGGTTCAGTATAAATTGGTCTGGAGGTCAGTTGTCTCAGGCTTTCTCGGAATGCAGTAAGGGCGGGCAGGGCTTATTTGAATGACTGCTGCCCTTTCTTACCTTGGTGTAACACATGGCTTCTTTACCTGCAGATTCTTTGTTACGCCTGGAGAGTAGAATATTGGTGTTTGTAAGGCTTGGGAGCTTTTGCTTTCCCTAGGGTGGGGGAATTACTTAGGAATCCACTGTGTGTGTCCAGTTTATTGCAATGGCCCTGGCCTGTTTCCTTCTCATCTGCTACTCCCTATTGTTGCTTTAGCTACCTATCCTCAGTCCATCAGAGAAAAAGTCTCCTTTATTCCAATACTAGTAAAATATATTTTTCCTTTTAAAATTTGGTCAATTTCCAAATGAGATGAGTTTGCCAAACAAAAACTCTCCTTGACATCAGGCACCAGAATTTCCCTTCTTAGTCCTTTGCTTAAACTCCCAATGAAAGTGAAGGCAAACACCTATGTTTATTATTGTGGTGCTTGCGGCAGTGAGCCCCAACCTGTCCCTATGAATGCTCATCTTTTGACTGAGTATTTCATATTGTTTGAATTCAGGTAGAAATACAGTTGTCACTTGAAGGGAGTAGAAATGGAAGGGAGTTTGGGGAGGGGTGGGGCATGGGAAAAGTGAAGCTAAAGAGTGAGGGTTATAGCTTTAGCAGTGCTGATGAGCCACATTTCCCAAACAGATCTGTAGCATTTGCTGTTGATCTCAATTTTGAGTTGAACTCTCCTGTAGAACCGATAACACTGAGCATGGAGGAAATTCAGACAGAAAATGGCTCACCCTGATAGGAAGGAGTGACTATATTTTAAATTATACTTGCTTTTTCCAACACTGTGAGGTTTCTGTAACATTTAGCTTTTATTTGGAAGCGATAGCGTATGGCATTTTTATGCTGTTTGGTTTATATTGTCTACTGCAGGCTTCTTTGTATAAGCTTTGCCTGGGTTCACCCTCTCCTGGACACTGTTTTAAAGTGTCCACAGCTGCCAGTGCTGTCAGAGGCTCTGATGTGAAAGTATACTCTCAAAGTCCACATTCCTAAGTTGGCATGACTGGTGATGACTTCTTGTGGCAATAGTAAAGTCCATTAACAATAACAACAAAAAAAAATGAAGGGAGTGAAAAAGTAAAGGAAACTGAATTGTGCCTCATCTTGACACCTATGTTTATTATTCTAATAATAAGAGAACTTGCAAGATAGAGAAGAACAGATAGAGCACCTGCTTCACCCCTCTGGCTGTCCAGAAATACTGATTAGTAAACAAAAATTAAAAGGTCTTCAATTTTTATTTAGAAAATAGCATACCAAACACTGTAAGGATTATTAGGCAGATTATTTGTAAAATAATGCTTGTTAGCTGAGCACTCACTTATCAAATTAATAAAGTCATTTAAAATGAGTTGGAACAGAAACCAACATCAGAGATGCCCCTAAGCTACACAATTATGAAGGTGCCCATTGCAGTCACAGACACCTCAGGTACCAGAAGCAGCAGCAGTAGGCACTGTTAAGTTAGTTTTTAAGATTTTTTTTTTTTTTTTTTTTAAGAACAGAAGGGTTCACCACTGCAAAAGCCAATAGCTATTAAGGGAAGTGTCCCTTTGCCTTTAAGTTATTTACATTGGAAACAGATGAATGTCTCAATTGCATCTTACATTAATTGAAACATTAGGAAAAAATGAAAATAAGAACAGGTAGAAGTTGACTAGCTGCTGCCAAATCAAACCCAAGATCTACTGAATCTTAAAGGGCCTGCTTCTTTCCCAGGGCAAGTAGTTAAGAGTCCCATTCCAGAAACCCTTTGTAGTTGGCTGGTGTGTTTACTTGCTGCTGTAACCAGCCAAGAAGAATGCACCCTGGCCCTCAAAAAAAGATTTCTTACCTCAGTCTAGCCTGACCCTCATACTTGTGGTTGCCTCTGAGACCAGCATCCATGCTAGTGTAAAAAAATTAGGAATGCCCTTGGCTGCCAGGAACTGAAGCACTTATTAAATGGTGGACAGAGTTCTTGCTAGCTTTGATCCAGCCCCTCTTAGGCTGAGGTAGGGGGCAGTGCCACACTGTAAAGAATTTCCAGATGTCTCTTAAAATGTCATGAACAAAATTGGAAACTGTAAAAGTGTTAATGTGTCCTATGGACTCAATAGCAAGAGTTTATTTTTGTTTTTAAGGGCAAGGCTTCTAGAGCCAATGATTGTATGAGTTCCCTACTCTGGCTATGCTTACAACTCCATCCAAGTGCAAGGGAAGAACCAATGGGGTGGATTGGCTGGTAGTGGGGCATGCCCCAGTGCAAGCCAGAGAGGTAGACAGTAGTAAAGAATGAAAACTTGGTTGGGGGTAAAGGGGTGGGGGGGTGGGGGGACAAGAAGGGAGAAATGAAGTTTGTTTTACTTACTGATAAAGCTTTGTGAACTAATTTTATACAATTCATAAATTGGTGCCTTGTACTCAATTATGGTTTGCATGAGATTGAAAAGGATTCCTTCTTATCATTTCAAGTGGCAAATGGGTCTATGTAGTGTTGAAAGCATTTCATCTCTTGTGTGTAAATGCAAATCATTCTTACCAGCAAGTTCTGAAATTTTATTGTAATGTCCAAGTTGTTCCTATTTGTAATTACTCATCAAATGGCTCTTTCCAGGCCTGCTGTATACCCTTGTATGTTCCATACATTAACTCTGGCCTTTGCAAAGCAGGCTGGAAGACTACCCCTTCCTAAATGTGTTCTATATCCTTATTTGGGGTTAAAGCTTATAAGTGGAAGGGTTGCTTTTCCAGCTGATTGGGAGAGCACAAATGATCAAAAAAGGCCTTTTAGTCTTTATCAAAATAATGACTTGTGCTGGGCAACTTGTGGTAGAAGTCAAACAAAAGTGGTTCCTCCTGAAGTGGTACCTCCATTAGTTCTAAAGTTCTTTTGCACAAAATAGCAAGAAGCAGTGTAGAAAACAATCCCCTATATGTGAATTCTAAGACAAACCAGTGCACTGTGTAATATGCAAAGGGAATGATGCAAAAGAGAAGCCTCCACCTGGGTCCCCACACCCTTTCCCAGGCAGATGTTGACTGGGATGGTGAGTGGATATGGAAGGTGGTGCTGAATGGCTGTGGGAGTGAGCTGAGTCCACTTACTGCAGGGCTGTTCTAAGCCTGTTTCTTTTGATTCCATCCAATCTTAAGGTTTCCCCTGAGCTCACTAGACTTCACACCAAAGGATTTTTTAAAAGCTCACCATTCCAAGCACACTTGATAACCAGGTTCCTTAGCCTAGTTACTGCACTAATTAGGTGAAGAGCTGTGCCTTTGGGGGTAAAACTTCCCATGGCCACTTAGGTTTTCACCAGGCACATATGCATCTCTCTGGTGGCTTAGATTCTTTTTAGTCAGCACTAAAGCTGAAAAACACCTTCTAAAAGAGGACTATGCGTTTAGTTTATATCTAACATGTTTAGCAACCATTTCCTAGGTCTAGGGCTATGACTTTAGTCACTATGTACTTGTTCAGCTCACACACTGCTCTAGTTATACTAGAGTTACTATAGCACTGAAGCAGTCATTTTTGTGGATTTGTTCCATATTTATGCTGGCATGTTTCATTTAAATCCAGCTAGCTATGGGTATCTAGCTCAGGGGTAAAGCACTTGTCTAGCATGCTGAGGCCCTGTGTTTGATCCCTAGCACTAAAAACAAAAACCCAAAAAACAAAACAAAACAACCTGGTCAAGGACTGACAAATGTAACTGGATCTAAAATTGACTTCCCTTGGAGAGAATGTTGTATTAGCAATGGTGAAAGCTAATACTTTCATTCACAGATTTAATGAAATTCCATCAAAAATCTTTAGAAATTGTAGACTTGATAGTTTTATATACTAAATTCATAATTAAGCCAGTTTATATGAAACCTTACCCAACCAGCATTGTGGCTTTAAAAACCAACCAACAGTAAACACTATTACTTGAAATTAAATTTGAAATTTTGAGTGAATTTTGAATTATGTTTCTGGAAGCTGCCACCTCTCCATGTTGATTTTCAACTTTGGAAATAATTTACTTTTGGCACTAGGGATTGAACCCAGTGATGCTTTACCACTAAGCTATATTCCTCACCCTTTTTATTTTCTGAGACAAGAATCTTGCTGTTTCAATCCTCTTGCCTCAGCCTGTTAAGTCCCTGGGATTATGGGACCTGACAACAGCACCCAACTCAACTTTGGAAATTTTTATCAAATAGAATGAACAATTATGAGAAGATCAGGAAGCAGACTTTAAGAGTCTAAGTTTCGTTCCTATAAGAAAAGGAGGTTGTGGTATTCTTTGTTGTTGCAGTAGTCTGATTTAGGTCTAATGGGGTTTAGCATCTGTTAGAGCTTAAAATTTTCCTCCTGATCTCCTGGAGGTAATGGCTTCAAACCTAAGCCTCACTCTCATATGTGACCACTCTTCATCTTGATAATCAGTTAAGATATAAACCTCTCAGAGGATCTCTAATCTCAGTGTACTGTATAGGGTCTTGGTTTCATATTAAGCCAGTCCCAGACCTGAATTCCCACAAGCTCATATCAGATAAGATTTATCTGATGAATATTCACAAGAATGGTGCTTTCTAATTCTCAAGCAGCTTTCTTTTTATTATTATTTTTTTCTTTTGGTGCTGGGATCAAACCCAGGGTCTAGTACATGCAAAGTACTTACTCTGTCACTACATCGCCAGCCCTTAAATAACTTTCTTAATGAAATTTATACCAGCAGGGTCAAGACTTGAGTTAAAAAAAAAAAATTGAAAGAACAAATTGCTAAAGACAACGCATCTATCAGGTGTAACAAGCCACAGTGGTGCAATTGTACTGATCCACCTAAAGCCCTTTAAACCCACAGCAGTTCCATATGCGTCTTGGCATATAAAAGCAGTGTTTTCTAAAATGCCTAATAAATTGACTAGAAAAAATTATTATGGTGAACCTGTCCGTATCTTCACCTTTTTCTATGCCTATGAGTCTTTCCATGCCAGTTCTTTATATATTCCATTTCCAAAGAACCCAAGTCCCTGGACAGTGGTGTTAAGAATTTTAGGATCAAATAAACATTTGTTTACTTGCAAAGGAAGCAGCTTCCTCAGCAGTCTCACTTTAGTGCCCACTGCCAAGGCTGACTTATATCTTCCTCCACCTATGCATCATTGCCCTCTTTCTGCCACCAAACCTCATTCTATCCCAGCAACGATGCCTCCCTGGTGCCCGGAAAACCCACCTGGTACGCTAAAATGCTATGCAACACCAAATGGCTTCTTCCCCAATACTGTTCAACAATAGAATTCCTCAAGAATAAGCTTCATGTTATGTTGGCATCTATGTGTAGTGGGTGGTTACAGGTTTTTTTTTTTCCTTCTTTTAATGAAAGGCAAACCACCTCCATTACAATCTGTTTGGGGCTTGTTCCTGTCTTTTTCAAGTGTGAAATATAAATCATGTTTTTATGATTTTTGTAAATCTGGACTTTTTACACCTTGTTTTTGTAAGCAGAAGTTTCTTATTAAAAGAATAAAATGGCTATCTTTGTGTGTGATCTTTATTTCAAATATTTGTTATAACACCATCATTATTCCTTGGAACAAGAGCAAAGATCACCCCCTGCAGAAACTTAGGAACTATGTACAGAATTTTACAGAACAGAGGCAACACTTTGGCAGAGGCTGAATGTTGACCATAGAGTGGAATTCAGCGAGGCAAGAGGAAGGTGAAGGTGCCCTCTGAATCCAACTTCAGCTTCCATCAGGGCAAACTTGTGCCAGTCACAGATTATACGCTGTTTTTGGAAGGTTTGGGTGCAGCACAGGAATTCCTTTTGTCTGCAGTAGGATCATAAGACAACAGGTGGCATTAGAAATAGAAAACCAGTTAAGAAAGATTTAGAAAAGCTAAGGATTTTACATCAAGTTTCTTTACTACATTTCATGAAGAGGTGATGTAAATTACTGCTTCTCCTAACCTCTGGAACTTCTAAGATAGGCAGAGGGGTGGTTAAATGCTCACCTACTTGGCTAAATCCCTGGCTGAGGTGCCATTAGGTCAATGTCACTCAAGTTCCTGGCCAGCCAAACTCCCGCAGCGAAGAGTCCCAAGTTTAGGATCAGGTTCCTGGATAGAGAATATATTTCATTAACCCTGTGGTCATTGAGTCACCTGTACGGCTTTAAAAAAAAAAAAAAATTACAATAAGAAGCAGTGCACCACCAGTAATCCCAGCGGCTGGTGAGGCAGAGCGGTGGGGGCTGGGCTGAGACAAGGAGGATCGCAAGTTCAAAGCCAACCTCAGCAATGGCGAGGTGCTAAGCAACTCAGTGAGACCCTGTCTCAAAATAAAATATAAAATAGGGCTGGGGATGTGACTCAGTGGTCGAGTGCCCCTGAGTTCAATCCCCAGTATATATAAAAAAAGTAAAAAACTAATCATTTCCCGATGCGTTGATAAATGGTTATTACATGGTACCGTTGGCCAATACCCACATGAGAACCTAGGATTCGCCTCTGTTCCTAAAAAGAGCAAGATCAATTGCAAAGGCCAATTAGGCACTCGTCCAGGGCTGAAAAGCCTGTTATTGTGTGGACGCCACCTGCTCCCCGTTCCCCTTGTCAGGGCGACATTCTTTACTAGCCACGTGATATACCGATTTTCCCACATGGGAATCCTCGCAAAGCACATTCAGAGGTACTTAGTGCCACTACGTTGGCAACGTACAAAAACGAACGCCAGCCTCGCCGGGAGGGGGAAATTCAGGTGTACACGGGCTAGAGGGACCAAGCTCCCCGGGCTCAGTTACCTCCGGAAATCATTCCTATCGGTGGCAAAGCGGTAGACTCCCCGAAGCCAGTCTCCTACGTTGTCCGGAATTTCAGGGGCTTCATTTGCCGACCCGGCAGCGCTCACGGTAACGCCGCTGGAAGCCATTAATACTTCGGATGTCTGCACTGCACTTGGAAGACAAACCGTACAGGCGTCCGCCACACGCAACTTCCGGCCTCGCGCTTCCGCCCACAGGTAGAGGGCGCTGTCGCTCTAGCTTGCCTCTAACCGCCGATGGCCACTCTGCGGCTGCGCTTCCACTAGCGCCGGGAGGGGGAGTACACGGTTCAACTGTACGGTGCCTCCGTCTAGTCCCACCAGACTTCACGCTCCGCAGCCGGTCATCACCACACGTGCTAAATTATCATTTCGATGGCTCAGGATGAGGGTGCTGGGGATGAGGGCTAGTTTAGGAGGGAAGACGTAGCTTTGAGGAATGGGATTTCCCAAGAAAATCTCTACGAAAAGTCAGAAAAGTATAGTGTTGAAGAGATGCACTCCAAGTTTGTCACCTCGCTGCCTCACTCAGGCAGCAATCCCTGATTAAATTCAGCCTAGGATTTATAGAGGGAAAAGAGCCTTGTTCTCCCGCCTTAAGGATGCCACCCCTTCAACCCCCAATCTCGGCTGCGCCACTAGCAAATGGTGCAATGCTTCCTGGAGGTGTCGCTATCCTCTGCCTGGAAGCTTCCGAGGGTCTTCCTGAGCCGCGGAAGACGCTGGCCTAAGAAAAAGCCTTCGGGTTCCGAATCAGAGGAAGAGGAGCAGGTGGGACATGGGCAGGACGCGTCCTCCTTGGGATCATGGGGCGTCTCCAGGCGTTCTAGCTCCCGCCCACTCTGGGTTTCCAGGCTGGAGCTGGAGATTGCGGCGGGAAATTCTGCCCCGGAGGTGAACACGGCGTTTAACGAGACGTGGTCCTTTCTTTCAGTTGGGTCTGGACTTCCCTCCCCTGTTCCGGACCGGGTCAGAAAGGCTCTTCTCAGATCCCGAAGTGCTCTGCACTAGCCTGGCGCAGCAACCCACTGAAGATAGCGGGGTTGGGCGCAGCCTCCAGCCCCGCCCCGGGCCGTGCGCGC